TGCCCAGGCCCCGGGGCTGCTGCCTCTGATAAAGAGGCAGCAACATAGGGTGGCAGCAGCCCCTGTCTAAGGTGGCTCTGAGCTCCTGGACCCGGGGGGAGCCATAACTGAGCCAGGCTGCCTGCTCACATGGCTCCTAATACACTATAAATGCAGAGCCACAGCAGGGGTAGGTTCTGGACCCGGTGGGAGCCAGAACTGAGCCAGGCTGCTGGCTAGCCTGCAAAACTTTTACTGGTGGGAGGGAGGGGGAAATGCATGTAGTTTATAGCATTAACATATAAGCTTTTGCTTATCGGTTAATCGGTTAATTGACTACACTATTACATCCTTATCAAGAACTACCCATTTCTGAAATGCAGTTTGAGAAACTCTGAGGACAAATACATATGACTGAATATTGCATAGGATAAATTCAAATGAATCTTTCAAGCAACAAGATTTATGTGGCCCATAGAGATGAAATTCCTGCATATCATGGGATTCTGCAAAAAGGACATTGTATCATACTACCACAAACCACGCGTTCATAATCTGAATTGAGATGTGTACGAATAGCACCACAAATACTACTACAGTATAAAAACTATGGTCAATGCAGGAGGCAGAAGGCAAAAGAACTACTGAAACCATGAGTTAACATGCTTGGTCCACATTTGGGCAGATCCATTTGAATTAAAAGTAAAAAGATTAATCATTAGTGGACAACTGTTAACATTTTTTAAATGAATTGCTGCCCAACACATAAATTAGCAAGGTGATCACTCACTCTGCATTGCACTTTGATTGTAATGGGATTCTAAATGAGTTAAAGAAGAGATAATGACTGGCTCTTGAGTACACCTTGTCTAACACTTGCTAGGATAGCAAAAGTCAATACAAACCGCTACACTTGATTTGATAAAAGAGCCCTGGGAATTTCATTTAACATTGCTAGAATATTGCAGTACACTTTCTCAGGTCTTTATTAAGATCACTCATTTATTGAAAATGTCTTAGTATTCATTATGGCAGCACCAAGGGGCCAATGCCTATTATGCTGGGCACTGTGCAAAAATAACAAAGACGCTGTCTGCCCCCTAGAAGAGCTGTGCAGCAGGATACTAAAAGAAGAGCAATACCAAAAGAATGCCAAACAACTCCCTTCATTTGCAACTGAGAGATGTTCTAAACAAAAAGTGGCTGGCAACCTGCTAAGATGGCAGTCCACAGCAAGGTGATATGTAATAAACAATCCAGTGAGTCATTCCTAGAGAGGAACACGATGCCTAAACATAGCTAAGGAGAAGAATGACTGTCTTTCCATCTCTTGAGGACTTCCAGAATGCTGCAGAGTATACGTCTGAGCAGACAATGAAAAGCAACAGGATCAGGAGAAATGGGCACCGAGTGTCAGATGTACGGATATGGGTGAAGAGGCCACTGAAGAAAGAAATAGCATGAGGACACTAATTCCGTGTCTTAAGAGCAAGCCCGTTGTATCGAAATATAATGGGCTTGTGATTCCAACGTCCCTATAAACCTGATTGCACGAGGGATAAAGGACGTTTTGGAATAGTGTCTTATTTCGAAATAACATCAAAATAAGCTATGCAATTTCATAGCTTGCATAGCTTATTTCGAGGTAGGGGTGCTGTGTAAATGCACCCTAAGTGGCCATGTGATCAGGAATCCACAGAGGTTTAGAAATGATAATTATGACAGAGGTCCAGCCAGAGGCAGAATAATTCGCTCATCTGCCAAGCGCTTCAGGTTGACCTGACCTTAGTCCAACACATGTGATTTGTGTAGTGCTCTGTATTCATCTGTGATTGGGTTTTTTGGGTAGATAATGCTTTACTTGCACTTGGTTAATAAAAAAAAATTAGAGCTATCTCTGGAGTTTCCCTTCATTATAGGAAATAACTGTACTACAGCCAGCTGCAGTAATTAACAATATCAGTGCTTTCTCCAAGCACATTTTTCTCCCCAAGGCTTGATCCTTGTGGTTTAGAATACACACGTTGTTGCAGAAAAGCGATCAGAAGAATCTGTGAGAGCCTCAACCCCAATCCTAACAAATAGCGATGGATTTCTGCCTCCCTACAGGCTCCACCCCCTCTGACTATTAGGTAGCCTGTTCGTTTCCTGTCTTACTCCTGAGTGCCTCCATCCATTACTCCACTCTTGGGCACTCACAGAAACTCAGGACCCAACTTTCTGCTTGCGGGTATGCAAGTTGGGACTGTTGCATGTCATTTGCGAGACCCAAAATCTATGACACTGTGGAATGTAATCTCCGAAGTGAAGTGTGGAGACCATGACTGCTTGGGACACAAATATAACCAGGACAGAGTACTGGAAAACTTCCTGGAGGAAGCAGCCCTGCATAGCTGACTAAGCAGGAGAGATTAGGAGATAGATGTAGCCAAATGGATCAGTTGAGCTTTTGCAACAGCTGCAGTCTTGACTCACACAAGCCAGGGACCTCTAGTGCTAAAACCAAGAGCTGGTACTGATGCCATGCTCACTAGCTGAGAGCTGTAACTGACTCACATCCTCTGTGGGTTGGGTCCAGACAGTAAAAGTAACCCACCTGACAAGTAGGTTGTGCTTGCATTGTGGTTGGTGCTTCAAATATTCACCTAGCTCTGCTGAGTAGCAGATGGGTTCCCAAGTTCACTGCTCTGTGCTCACATATTTCAGTAGTAGAATGGTTCTTTCCTCAGACAACGAAGCTCTCTCTGGAGAGAGCCAAATAAACACCCTTTCTACAGTGCTGCATAAATAGCTTTTTATAGCTGGAAATGAGGGGTACCATTATGAGACAACCTGGGGGGAAAATCCAGTCAAAACTTTAGGTCACGTTAGGACTGCTGTAACAGTCTCATTAAAGATTCTGGTAACCTCCTTCATACAGTGGCTCTTAACAATGAACAGCTAATAAACTTATAGTCTGCAGGAATTTACTATACAGTAACTAATCAGATTTATATAGTCATAATAAACTTCAACAGCTCTGCTTCTATGATTTATAGCAGTCCTTAATTATGAAGCTATACTAGGATGTGAGATGTAGGGCACTAATTGTATAGAGGTGTTCTACGATTGCACGTTGGTCACAGCATTTTTGGAACTACTTATTAATACAGCACAATCTATAAGTGACCCTTTTAAAAATAAATCTTAGCACCACTGTCAGGCTAAGCATGACAAAGAAATCCCAAAAGAAACCACCACAGGAAATATGAGGACTTATTATAACATAGAACGAGTCTCCCTCCTATTATAAAAGGAATGTATACTGGCGTTTTCTGCATGAAAGCTTTTCATCATTTTCCAACTCATGGACATTCTCTGCTTCCCATAGCCCAACATAATAGAATACATACCAGATCAAATTATAGTTCTGTAAACTTCATTACCTGGGCACCGGGGGCAGCACAGCTGTGGCACATGCACTGGGGTAGGGCAATGAAGGCTTGGGCATCTTATTCTGCTGCATAATACGTTCCCATTCTGGAGAAGGAATGTAACAATTAAGTAAATGAAGTTGGTATTGAGACCTCTGTTCTGCCTCTAGGTAATATGGGTGAAGAATGTTGTTTTGGGCCAGATTCTGACCTCAGTTAGGCTAGAGTAAACCTGGGGTAACGCCGCTAATTCCAGATTTGCATTGCAGTAATGGAAATTAGAATGTGGAATAACTGCACAAAATAGCCTAAATGCTTTCAGATCAAAGGGGGCATTTACAAATGGGATCACAATGATTTTCACTGCTGTATTCAAGTGTCCTTTGAGCCCCATTATACTTAGAAACAGCTTTTTCCACAGCTACGGATTAGATGATGAATGATAGGTCTCTAAGGCACCTCCTGCTGAGGATTCATTTGAGAGCAAAAGAGATCATAGAGTCTGTAATTTTTAATTCTTCCACTAAACCTGCAGAGAGTCCTCTCTGTTCATTGTATTGATTCCCCAGCAGGCAAAGAAAACCAGTTGGTTGACAGCTATTTTTCTGAGAAATATGAGCAGGATTTGAGAATAGTATTCATTATTCATAATTAATGTAATATTCTGTTTGACCGTGTCTAGGTTTGATTTATAATTAAAGCACAGGGAATATTCAGTCTCCAATGTCTCTAACCCATCTATGTTACACCAGAAGAGACTATGCATTTAAGATTTTCACTTCCCATCCCTAATTTATAACCTTAATTCAGCTATAAAAGCTGTTTATATTTGCAAATAAAAGGGACTCTTCAACATGAACACTAATGCTGTGCTACATTTGTGAATGATTTAGTTTCTGATGTAGTTTGAAATAAATCCACTTCAGCTTCATATGAGCCATCAGAATACTATGAGATTAGTCCAGCTAGTGTTCATTTGATTGGGCTCCAGCATGCCTTAGAATGCCTTGATATGATACCATCCCTATTCACAAGCACTCCTTGTCTTCATCAAAAAGTGCAATGCCATACTGAAAATGACTCTCAAGCTTTGTGTTTCAGTGATTCCAGATTGGATATGGTAGAGTTGAGAAAAATGGGCCAGCCTTTTTGTTGTAAACTGTTCGGGGCATAGTGACTGTCATTGACTGTCATCAGGTCTGTACAGTGCCTTGCACGATAGGATCCCAGACCGACTGGTTACAGGCATTGCTGTAATGTAAATGTTAAATTCTCCGCTGGTGTAAATAGGTTCCAGAAGAGTTTACATCAACAAATTTACATCAACAAAAAATGTTGACTCCAAATGGTGGGGTGTTTTTTTTTTTGAACTACCAGCCATGCGAACTCAACCTGAGCTCTGAAAACTAAGATTCTTTCTTTCCTGTGCATCATTAACATCATGCATGCTGCAGGCCAGGTTCTATCCTCAGTGGATTTACATTGTTGTAACTGATTAGACTTAGTAAGCAATTCTGTTTCTGATAAGCAAGGAAGAATAGAATTCAACTTCCTCTTTCTTAGCTGTGTCAACACTGCTAAAAAGTAATAAACTTGTTAGTCCCTGACGTCGGCAGATCTGACTCAGAACACACACAAGAAGCAGCTTTGATGGGTAAGACGGTGCCCTGTTTGTAGCATTACTTTTCAGAGTAGAATAATGATCTGGCCATTTGTAAACACTTCACTTAGCTGAAGCTAAGGGTCTCCAAGCAATTCTAACTTACTCTGTCCCTCTCTGGTGGGAGACAATGAGCTATCTTTAGTTGCTTTTCTTTACTTTAACCTGTAAGCTTTTACTTTTAAACAGTAACATGCACTCACAGTAACACATGAAATACCAGTTATTACTGATTTACTGCTATCATTTCCTCCTTAACACAAGAGCCTTCTCACAATTCAGATGCTATTTCTTTGCGATAAATCTTTGTCCAAGCACAAAGCTGGAGTAAATGGGTGGGCCCTGGGGATATGCGTATGGAATTTTCCCATCCAAGCTGCAGAGTGACTGTGAATCCATTCCACAGCTACTTTTGCACCCCTGCATGAAGGGAGACGAGGGAATTGGTTGGTGGATCCATGTAGCCCTGTATCCACTAAGGTGCAGGGAGCCTCTTCTGGGCTCTGCTTGGTGGTGCACCTACCCTCTGTTGGGCTCTGTCAGAAATGTTGTGACAGCCTTTTGAAAGATCCTGTGTAATCTCCTTCACACAGTGGACATGGTCTTCTACCCTACTTCCACTCCCCCATATCCCTTTGCACCAGCTCTGTGGTCGTTCAGTCCACGTGTGTTTGTGGAAACAGGATTTTCCCCACATGACTCTTGTGATGAATGGGTTTGCATGGAACATGGCAGTTCTCCTGTAACTTTAATACCTATGAGGCCTTCCCTATACAGTAAGTTAGCATTCTACATATTTTCCTTTTCCTCCAGCTTGTCTAACTTCTTCCTAAAAATCACTGATGGATGATTTCTCTCTCTCTCAAATTAATATCCCTTCAACTCCCCCACAACTGCTTACCCTTAAACAGGGTAAAGAGTATTTTCTGAACACGGGTTCAGAAGGACTTTTAAACATTCATAAAAAGGTCAGCAAAATGGAATGGAAAGTCCCAATAACTTTAAAACTCTGGAGTCTCACATGTTAGTGATTCAAATCCCCGAACTATGGGGACATTTCTGTATAGTCATTTTAAAGTACTCGGGGACAAATTCTGCTCTCTGATATACTCCTCTGTCCTGAACGATCAGTCATGTTGTGAAGGGATCTATCACTGGGGTATCTAAACAAGAGTCACCCATTGAAGGGAGCCTGATCATGCCCACGAATCTTATAGCTTTAAAAAGAGATTTGTCCCCTTCCCTGCACACTGTGTTTCTGTGCAGCAGAGAGAAGCTGGAAGAGATGACGTGCACCATTGCCAAGCTTGTGTGCTACTGTTTGCACATGTGCATAAAAGTGAAGAGGCAGATTCTTCAGGATAAGAGCTGCACAGGGTCCAATGGTTCATACTTGCAAGGGGATAAACGGTCAAAAAGAATGTACTGAGCATCAATGATAGCAGACCAAATGCAACATCTGGAATGTCACATGTGGTAGTGATTCAAATCCCTGAACCATGGTGAGGTTTGTGTTTAAAATGCCTATGTAGCACTGTAAGGGACAAATTCTGCCTTCTGAGATCTCCCCCCACTATCTGCCATGTTGCGAAGGGATCTATCACTGTAGTATCTAAACATCAATCTCCCACTGAAGGGAGCCTAATCGTGCCCAGAACAGCTCATCCCTTCATGTCAAAGCCAATTCTCCCCCTCCCCAACCTTTTCTTTTCTCTTCCTTCATTCTCCCTGCTTTTCCCTGGGTTTTTATCAGTTGTGCCATCCCAGCCCAATCCTCCCCAATGCCCCATGCTTCAAGGAGGAGATTTCTTTGCTATGGGAATGCCTTACTGGAGAAGAGGGTGTTGCATTTAGATCTCACAGTCAAATATATGGGCTCAGTCTAATCTTCCATCCACGTTGGTGAGGACCATATGTGGATGCAGGGATCATATTAGTCAAGGTTTAATGCAAAGACTATGCAAGGCTGATGTCTCGTTATGGAGTCTCTTGCCTGTCTCATCACTGTAAAGGCATGTATGATGTGTAATTTTTGCCAATATTGCCCTTTTCTGTTGAAGCGGTAAAATCTCAGCTTTCTCTCTGAAGTCAACAGGTGATGGACACCATAGGAGAGCAGCACCGGGCCACACTGCCATGTAAATACAATGGAAAGACTTGCAAGGTAAGAACATGCAAGAAGTCACTAGCTCTAACCCTGAATTGACCTACCTCTGAGCAAAGACAGTTAACACAGTAAACGAGTCCATGGGGTTCCAGATAGGGATGCCATCTTTCTCCTACCCGGTACTTCTTATCTTGAAACACACAGTATGTCTCTGAATCTGTTAAAAATATGAAATAGAAAGAGCTAGGAATTAATAATCCCTTTCAGTGCAGGAAAACTGTTGTAGATATGGAGCCAACTGCCCCCCAGAAAAGCTGCGCTTGCGATTCATGTGCAAATAAGTTAATAAAGAATCCTACTTTTTCCTTTTCTTGGAGAATGCTATTTAAAAAGTAGCACTGCCCTATCAGATACCAGTTTCTAGCACAAAACCTACCAGATTTCTGATGTGGTGGCTTTCAGGCTGGGTTGAGTCACTTCCCTTTCACAACCTAGTGACTTGAGTTCATATTCTGCGTAGGTCACAAATGAAAGGGCTTAATCCCTCAGCCTGGTTCATAGTAAATAAAATGTTCCCTTTTCAAAGGCACTCTACAGCCATCTCTGCTCAGGCCAGCAGAAGTGTTGAAGGACAGGGCTGCAGAATGAGGAAATGTGCATTGTACTTTTACCGCATGTTCCATAGTTTAAGAACCAGATCAAAGAGGGATATGTCATGTTATTTGATAGTGTTTTGGTCTTACCTATGCAGTAATGTGCAAGATATTTTAGGGGCCTATTTTTCAGCCATGGCCTCTAATTTCACAAGTATAGTTTTCCACTTGCAACTAACAGCAAACAGAACTGTTATCATTTAGCCATTTACCCATGTGATTGCTTTGGTAAATTTTAATGTCAAGCCTCATGATAAATTATCACCCTTCCTGCAAACACATCTCATAGCAACACACAAATACTTGACTCCCAAATGTTAGAAATGGAGTGGAATGTCCTTCATATTCAGTCTGCTAAAAGCAGGTAGCAAGATGCAGGGATTACTGGTAGCGTGTGTAAAGTGATCTGCTTTCACTTCAGACAGCTGCACGGTGAATGACGCTTAGTGTCTGAAAAAGTAATGAGTGGAAGTTGCTGAAGTTTTCTTGTGCTGCCTCTGCTCTGGACAAGGCTAATTTGCAGAGTTTCTTCTTGTGAATGAGCTCAGGAGAGCAAAGATTGCCTTCTTTGGACCAATTCTATTTATTTATTGCTACATCCACTTGCCTAGGACAAGAAGCTAGGTTTAAAAGATTTGACATTCTGTCTGAAAACTGTGACTACGTCTTGAATTGCAAGCATTGAGCTCAGACACATGCCAAAAGAAATGTACATGCAGATAGAGAAGAGCACTTGGTGTATCCTAGCAAAACCATAGTCTTCCTAAAGATACTGCAGTGTGCTATTAATTACTCCTTCCTGTCACTCACTCTTTCTGAAATGTGTTAACATCTCCCATGGATCACTGGGTTTCTAAAAATATTTCCTTTGTCTTGTTTGTGTTCCTTTCAATATATCACACAAAGTTTTTGACAGTGCCTGGATGCTTAATTGTCTCAAAGACTATTTCATTTCTAATCCACTTCATATGAGGTTTTTGGAGGAGGTTTAAACAAGCTGAAAACTTCAGCACAATAGTCTTATAGATGGGACAAAATCCAGATAATCTGTCAGATGTTTACAGAGGTCACTAAAATGCAATTAAGCACACTCTATATGCAGGATATTTGAAGTAAAACAGATTTGGCAGCTCAATGTGTTATGTTCTTTATGATGTGATGAAAACTGTACGGCTTTATGGAAAAAGACCAAATTATTTTGATTTGATTCTGTTAAATGAAAACAAGCAGACACATTTTTTCTTGGTTAGGCTCATTTTAATGCAAAACTGTTGTTAAAGTTCTATTACATATTAAATTTTCATTTGACATACACAATTGACAGACAACAGGAAAACCCACATTTAGTTTAATATGATAGATGCATTTTTCTTTTGAAGTTTACTTACGTTTTACTTGTTCCGGTTTACCTCCTTCTATGAAAAGGAGCCAGAGCACACAGGAAAAGATAAATCGAAAGTCCTCCAATCTCCATTTTTTCCTCATCTTTGCCAACAAAAAGGAAAGAAAAATCCTTCAAAGGGCAGAATGTTGAGCTGCTGGAAAGAAAATGTGAAAAGGCTTAAGACTGAAATCCTCTGGGACTACTTAAAATTAAGATCTCCAATATGATTTCCACCAATATGTAAAAATCTTAAGCTGCCAGAAAACAAGACAAGACAAAACAAAACAACAGCAAAAAAGTCTGTACTTTATTTGTTTAATGGAAACATTTTAGACTTGAGATTAAATTACTTCATTTTTGGAAAAAGGAACAGATTCCTATTTATAAAAGCAGAAAAGTGGTATTACATCTTATGAAGTCCCTGTCTAATTACAAAGCAAAGAACTTGCAAAGTGCATGCTGCCTAACTACTTAGAAACCCTCTTTCACGGGAGAAATAGTTTGTTTAGAATTCCCCCCCAATGGACAGAATCAAATCTTTTATATATTTAAAGAGGGAAGTATGAATGTAAAGAGCTTTGTCATGGTAAGAGTAATCTGAACCTTGATTGTATGTTAACTCTTTAATGCACATTCACATTTATTTCAGTAGGTTCAGGATTTCACTCCTAATCAGTTCATCCCCCATCTCTTATTTTGGGACTCCATAAAATTGATTGTTCAGGAGTTAACTCTTATTGTTACCTTGAAACTTGTCTGAATAACTCTGCATTCAGCAGTTTTATGCTGATGGTACACTATGCAAATAACATGCCAGTCTATTCATGCAGATCTTTAGTACCAATAGCCTGTTAGCATACAGCATGGTCACCAAGTATGCACTGCCCTGATGGTGCCAAAGTGCAAATTCTATTTGTCCTTTGTCTGACTTTTTAAGATGGTGATCAAACTGTAATTAATGTGGATCTTCTTTTAAAAAATCCAGTCTCTAACAATACATTAATAAATATGGGAACCACATTAAAGAACATTATTGCCCCGTTAAAAGGACAATTGGGGATAATTTACAGTGTTATGCATGTGGGTTCTTAAAAACAGTCTCAGTATTTATTTCCTTTTTGAAACTTTGAAAAGTGATTCACTACTGGAGATTTAAACAATTATATAAGCTTTTAAAAATATGTTAAAGTCATTTGACCTCTTTAGATACTTTTCAAAAATAGAACCCTGGACCCAGATTTCACCAGGTTTCACTGATGCATTATCAAAACAGAAATATTTACTATAGCTGTACAGTAAAAAACTAAGGACAATTTGGAAGAATAGAGAGAGATGCATTGAGAAAAAACAACGGAAGTTCATCTAAAAATACTGGTTTTCAAATTCTTGTTAAAGAAACTAAACTAAATGATTATACAAACTACAGAGTAATCATTTTAAGTTATGTACTGATCAAATGCCCTTTTTAAAACATCTTGCAGGTAGAGTGATTGTTTCTGGGATTCTATAACAAGAGGCCCTTAATATGGATAATTTGAACTATTATGTATGTCTTTTTATGCTATAATTTCTTGCATTCCATATCTCTAAAACAAACAACACTACAAGGCTGACTATCTATTCATTAAAAACAATATAACCATTCTTGTCTACTTATCACTGACCTCTGGCTGGTACAGTATTGTCTTATTTTAAATCATTTACCATGCATCTGAAAATATTCAAAAGTATAACAGAATTTTAAAAGGGTATTCTTTACGCAATAACAACATAGAATTTTACATTTCTTCCTGGTAATAAGAAATAAAATTTCATTTTAGGAACACAAGTTTGTCATCGTTTTTTCCCTCAAGGTGTTCAGCTCTCCCTGGACATTTTCTAAGACAAATACTTTTTAAAAAATTGTTCAAAAATCGAAAAAAATTCACTTTAGTCTCAGTACAATATGCTTGTATTTGGATCAACAGTAGGCTGCCGCAGATCACTGGCAGAATATGGGCTATTAAATACTCTGGTATTTTTGGGGTGCTGTCTGGCTGTTTGACCAAAAAAAAAATTGTAAATGGAGCACCACTACTCCTCTTTGAGTCTCTGGAACACATTGACTGTTATCTAGACTGGAGACAGCTCAGAAATCCTTTTGTTTCAAAATGTCATTTCTTTAAACTCTTTAAACCCCACCTTGCTTAAAAATAGGAATTATAAATTGAACAATGAACTAGGGGAGCTAATGGAAATTAGATGGACTTTTATATATTTAATTTCAAACTCTTCGTTACAATAAACCCGAATAAACATGCTGCTAGCAATAAACATACCCCTTTATTTTTGAGCAATATCCACAATTACAAATATTTTGAAGCAATTAATTGTAATTAAAATTAACCTTGTCATTATCCATTATTGATATTCATCAGTTAGAACATATCATAAGCATTACCTAGGACTGAAATAAGGCAGAAAACAAAGACCTATTTGCATGTCTTTTGATTTCCAGTAAATCAGATGAAGTGGCTAAAAAGACAGAGCATGGGTACACTACTTTATATTATTAATAAAAAGCAGGAAAGTGAATACATTTTTAAAAGATCTGTGACATGATCAATGTTATAACACACAGCTAGACCACAAATACATTCAGTTAAACTTTCTCCTAGAAGTTTAATAGGGGTAATGAGCACAAGATGTAAATTGCAAGAAATTGACCTATTAATTTAAGAAATTGGCTGTTGACTGCAGAGAGTGTAGTGGGTTATGCCCAGGAAAGCTCATCTATCTATCTATCTATCTATCGTTAGTCTCTAAGGTGCTACAGGGCCACTCTTGTTTTTTAAGTATTTTTAGTCACCTAAGGAGTGGCGAGCTGTCCTTCTGTAACATAAAAATGTACCCATCAGAGCAAACGTTTTCTCATCGGCAAAGCACAGTAGGGGGAAAGGGTTCCTAGGCACTTCGTTAGGCTTGTTTTCTTCCAATGGCAGCCAATTTGTACTAAAAGGTAGCTGGATGTTTAGCGAACGAGCTCTTTCCATGGCAGAGGGCTGGCTTTTAATGGCAAAGCACATGGTGCTCGAATATAGAGACCTGTGTCTCGGCTGGCAGGGTCCTCAGCCTCCCACCCCTGAGTAGGATGAAAGTTTAGTTCAGGGACTCGCTCCCCCGGGGTCACCTGGGGCGGAGGAGAGGTCTGTGTTGAGTTGCTACAGCCGAGCCCCATCAGCGCTGCTCCCGGACCCAGACAGGCCAGCGCTGCGCGCCTGACGCGCTCCCCATGGCCCAGGGCATGAGCGGCAGCCTCCGCCCGAAGGGCGAGCTAGCCAGGTGGGGTGGGTGCTGGCCCCGGGGGCCCGTCCTCAGGCCCGCACGAACTCCCCCGCGGTCCCTGCCCGGCTATGGGCGGCGGCGAGACGGGCACAAACCTGCTGGGGAGGCAGAAGCCGGAGGGCCGGTCAGTTTCAGCAGCGGTGGCTCCCGAGAGGCAGGGTCGCTCCGCCGCGAGCGGCTCCCCCGGCTCAGCAACGCAGTCCCG